AGAGGATTTTGTAATTCGGAAAGAGCGGCTCAGTATAAATAAAACTGATGATCATGTATCGAGGCTTTATAATTGGCATTCTAGGATTCGAGATAGATTTTATGAGAGTTGTAAACTGGAGCAGTATAATAGAAATATGCAGTATTCCGAAGTCATATGCATATAATTTTTAGCCCTTGACACAGGTTAAAGTGTATTTTAGTTCTTAGTTTCTTTTTTGTCAGATAGATCTATGTATAGATTTCTATGACTATATAGATAGTTTTTTACCTGTTTAAGAGGTTTTTATATCTGTAGACAAGTTCTCTTAGATTTTAGGATAGTTTTTTGAATTCCTTTATAGTTTGGTCATTTTTTTATATGTTTTAGTTTTTATTTACTTTTCCCGTTTTCATTTTTCCCTTACCTCTTTTTTTCTTTTTTACTTCTCTTGAGAAAGTGTCATCAGATTGGCAACACTCTATTGTAGAGCGATGATTCTGACAAGGTCGGTGCTTCCATCTGTTGAAGTCTGAGTTCACAGCCTCAGTAAGTTGAGGTTCTGGATGGAGGAAAATTGTCACTTAGGTGGGTCACTCCTGGGTCATACTCTAGTGTAAAAACTCTGGGCTTCAGCTGTAGTTTTTTCTGTGATAATGAAACAAATCGAGAAATTCTTTATTTGTACAGGAATATAGTAGTATTAATAACTTGCATGTAAGCCTAGCTAGCTGAGGGCATATTTGTAATCTACTTCCGATAAATAAAATAAAGGAAGGATCGCTGAAGTAAAAAAATAAATATTAACATTTTTAATAATTTAGAGTACTAAGATTTGATAATTGAAAATTTATAACTTGTATAGTTCAAGATAAATATGAAGTAGCTAAAACTGGTAAAAATAATGGACCTGTAGCAAAAGCTACACAATCAATAAAACTGTATGGTAAATAAAATTTAAATTAAAGTAGTTGAATTATTTTAATAAATGTTTATAATTTTAAATTTACAGATAAAAAAAGAGCACCTAAAAAACAACTAACAAATAAAAAGAAGCATAATAAATCTATTGTTAATGAAGAAGAAGATTTATTAACACTATTAAAATAGCAAATAGCTTAAGAAGAACAGCAATTAGAACTTGAAGAAAGAAAGGAAAATTTTTGAGAAAAAAAGCTTTTAAATTATGAAAAAACACATGAATTAGGTGTCAAAAAAGAATTAGGGTATGATAGTTAAAAATTATACTATTGTGATATTAACTTCAAAATTGCAATTTTAAATGCGATTTGATATTTTAATTTCAATAATGTATAATATTGCACTTCTTGTTAATTTTTAATGAAATTATAATAAATATGAATAAATGCACTTTAAAAATTTGTTATTTGGTGTTTATATATATACCAATACTATATTATAATCATATATACTTTCAAGAAATTGTATAAAATCTTAAAAAAATCAAAAATTATTATTCTTGTCTAAACGACTCAATTAAAACTCTAATAACTTATATACAGTATAAGTGTACATTATTGGACAGACGACAAAAAATAACAGTCAATTTTTTTTTTTGTCGGAATTAATGTCACTCCA